ATCTTTTGAATTTCTTTGGTTTCTGTTGTGATGTCCCCCTTTTCATTTCTGATTTGGTTTATTAAGGTTCTCTCTTTGTGAGTCTTGCTAGTGGTTTATCAATCTTGTTTATTTTTTTAAAGAAACAGCTCTTGGTTTCATTGATCTTTTGGATTGTTTTTTGGGTTTCTATGTCATTAATTTCTGTTCTAAGTTTTATTATTTCTCCTGCCCGGTTTGGACACTCTTAAAATAGTTTATAAATTGTTGATCTTAATAATGGTATTTCTCATTTCCCACTGACTACTCTTCAAATTTAAGTTGTTGAGATCTGAGTTGTATAATTTATACATTTTAGAAATTTTGCTTGGAATGATTTTTTTATCAAAATATTTTCAGAAAATTTTAAAAACTCATATAAAAGTGAAACGAATAACAATTATAAACAACTAATATGAATAAGGGCTTATTTAGAAAGCCACAAGCTCATATCAGGGTATCTGTTGGGAATTTTCCTTTTTAGGGCACCCACTTGACAAGCAAATTATTGCTATTATTTTCAATGTTAATATGTAGTTCAAATTTATTATTTCACATTTACTTTTCTGCCGTAAAGCATTGCATTTTATAATTACATGCAACTATTTACAATTTTTAAAATTCAGAACTAATTTTAGACTTACAGAGAAGTTACATAAATAAAGAGTTCTTATTATTTCTATTAACAATTTACAAAACCATAGTATATTGCTAATAACAGGAAGCTTACATTTAGTACATTAGCTGGACTTAAAATCTTATTTAAATTTCACTAATTTTTTTCTATTAGCATCCTTTTTTGCTATTATAAGATACAGTTCAGATTCAATGTTGCATTTAGTTATTCTCTTTTAAAATTTTAAATCTTCCCTCAGGCCTTCCTTGAGTGTTGTGACCTGCGTACTTCTATTATTTTTTTTTTCAAGTTTATGGTTTTTGGGCCATCCCCGGTGATTCTCAAGGGTTACTCCTGACAGCACTCGGGAATCACTCCTGGAAATATTTGGGGGGCTGTGTGGGATGCTGAGATCTAACCCAGTTGGCTACATGCAAGACAAGTACCCTACCCACTGTACTATTGCTTCAGCCCCCGTCAGAGGTTCTTTTATTTTTATTTTATTTATTTATTTATTTTTGCTTTTTTGGTCACACCTGGCGATGCATAGGGGTTACTCCTAGCTCTGTACTCAGGAATTACTCCTGGCGGTGCTCAGGGGACCATATGGGATGCTGGGAATCAAATCTGGGTCGGCCGCATGCAAGGCAAAAGCCCTAACTGCTGTTGCTGTCTCTCCAGCCCTGGTCAGGGGTACTTTAAAAGGGTAGTAACCAATGGCTTCCTAGACTGTCCCTGAATCTGTTCATTGTTTTCTCATGATTGGAGTATCTTAGCATTTGGGAGAATACTGCAAAAATGATTGTGTACTAACCAGTCCTGCCCCCTGCCCTGACAAGGCCCCAAGTTGCCACCATGAATGCCTCCTCTGGCTCCTGAACGACCATGATCCCAGAGGCACACAAACCAATCTCAGAACCAAGTGGCTTTTGGCAGTAATCCCTCCAGACTTATTACTAGAATATCAGAAATCCAAAATCACGTGGCCGCAATAGTGGCTGTGCAACATCATATGCTCTTCATAATCAGCAATAAAAAACAAATTATCTAATGATGCCTTTTTGGCAGATTTTATTGTTGGGGAAAATTCCAAATAACAATGTTGGGTCTTTTGTCATAATACTGAATGTGATCAACGTAGAGAGAGACAGAGTAAAGTGGAAATCTGCCACACAGGCAGGGGGAGGGGTGGGAAGGGGGTATACTGGGGTCCTTGGTGGTGGAAAATGTGCACTGGTGAAGGGATGGGTAGTTTGATCATTGTATGACCGACTGAGACTTAAACTGAAAGGCTTTGTGACTGTTCTCATAGTGATTCAATAAATAAAAAATTTAAAAAAATGATTGTGTCCTTCACATTGCATTACATCAAAGAGCTCACAGTCTCAATAAGCTTCTAACTGGTAATGTGAACCTTGATTCTTTAGTATCACTGTATATCACTGTCATCCTGTTGTTCATTGATTTCCTTGAGCAGGCCCCAGTAATGTCTCCTTCATCCTTGCCCTGAGATTTTAGAAAGTGCCACATTCGAGGCTCCTTCAGGGTTAGGAGAATGAGACCTATCATTGTTACTGTTTTTTGGCAATTGAATACACCATCGGGAGTTTGCCAGACTCTGCCGTGTGGGCAGGATACTTTCGGTAGCCTGCCAGGTTCTCCAGAGTAAAAACTAGATAATAAAATGTCACTCCGGGAGCTGGGTTTTATAGTCTCTGGGTCTTGGCTGTTGATGGGATTACATGGCGCCGGGGCCAGTTGGGGGGTGTAATGCCTACATACTGGAAGATGGGGGATCTGGGTGGAGGAGGCCCAGTCCTGATCCGAGCAGGCTTGGAAATGTAAGCCCCGGGTCCCGCACACCTGGGTTCCTCTGCCGGTTCCTTCATGCGTGAGGCTTCTCCGAACGTGTGGAGAGTGGTCTTAAGCATGGCGGTGGCTAGAACCAGAGGTCTTGAGCTGCCGGGGCTCTGCTCAGGGTGGGAAAGGAAACTCAACCCGCCCTCCTCCAAGGGGCCCGGGTGAGGACAGCCAGGTGCGGAGGCAGTCCTTTAGTATCTGCCTGATGTCTTTAGATTTAGATTCTTTAGTATCTGCCTGATGTCTCCACTGTATAGTTACGATATTAGTCAAGGTTTTCCAGAGAAACAGAACCAATGAATTGTGTGTGTTACTTACAGCTGTGTTTATGTGTATGTGTATATATAGAGAAGAGAGTAAAGGTAAAGGCCCTCCCGTTGATCGTCGATTTGCTCGAGCGGGCCCAGTAACGTCTCCGTTGGAGACTTTGTTGTTACTGTGTCATATCGAATACTGTGGCATATCGAATACTCTCGGTCGCTTGCCGGGCTCTCCGAGAGGGGCAGAGGAATCGAACTCGGGTCGGCCACATTGGCCGCTTGTAAGGCGAACGCCCTAGAGAGTAATTAAAAAAAAAACCTCTTGGCTCTTACAACTGTCAAGGTTGACAAACCCAACCTCTTCAGTTTGTCTGAAGTTTGTGGGCTTATAGGATTCCCTCTTCCTCTGGGAAAATCAAATCTTTTTTTCTATTAAGCTTTAAGTGGATAAGGCTCACACATAATGTATTAGGCCAGTCCCTACTTAAAGCTGGCTAATTTACATGTAAATTCTATCCAAAAAATACCTTCAGTGAAGCATATAGAATAGTGTATGACCAATGTGGTATTGCCAAGATGACATAAAGTTAAATCACCACAGTTACTACGTTTCCTTTCTTAGTTGCTGAATATCTTGGGAAGGTTGTCTGGGGCTATGCTGCTATCTTTTTCCTTCTTGGATGATCAGCTACTCCTAACTTCAGTATCTATTAGTGGATCTAGTCAACAATATTCACTTGATCACTTGATCACTTGACTTCCCGTTAATTGTCAGTTTGCTCGAGCGGGCGCCAGTAACGTCTCCATTTCTCCCTGTCGCGTGCTAGTGTAGCCCAATGGCATCTGTTCGCTCTAGGAACATGAAGAGCCTCAAACCAATCGTTCATGATCTTGATGAAGAAGTCTGACCGTCTGGTAGGTGGGCGGCCACGCAGTCTTTTGACATCCCGTGGAATCCAGTTGGTAACAGCTCTAGTCCAGCGGTTGTCTTTAAATCTCATTACGTGACCAGCCCATCTGATTTTTGACACCTTGGCAAATGAGACAACGTCCCTGATTCTTGATTGTCCACAGAGGTTGGAACTCCGGATTCTTTCTCTCATTTGAGTGAAACGTGATATTCCAAGCATAGCTCTTTCTATTGTTCTTTGGGAGACCCGAATAGTGTTCTCATCCTGTTTGCGTAGGGCCCAGGTCTCTGAGGCATATGTTAATACAGGAAGAACAGTGGAATCAAAGAGATGTGCCCGGAGCCAGAGGTTCTTCGTCCTCTTAGGTATTTCTTCGATACTCTTGAAGGCGTCAACAATATTACCTGTGGTATTTGCCTAATGGTGAATCTATGATTCTTTCTCTTTGTTTGACATCTATTATGAGCAAAAGATAAGTCTTCTCCCTATTTATTTATTTATTTATTTTACTTGTATCAACATGAACTCATGTATATTAGTTTAGTCCAGAGAACAGACTTTCATACTATTGTTATTTTGTTGCTCATATTGTTCAGGGTTTGGCATTAAGAGCTTCCTGTGTTCTTTTAGTAAATTTAAGAAAAACTTTTTTTTTTTCAGTAAATTTTTAATCTTAAAAAATAATGAAGTTCTTTCCTGGGCTCCCACTTTCACTTTTGTCACTGATGCTGCTAATGCGATGAGCAGGATTGTGCACACACACACCTGGTGGTGGGGCTGCCTGGAGGGGGCATCTTGGGTCCTGCGCTTGCGCACTCAGCTGCATGCCCGCCGAGATTTGCGCTCCTTTAGTTGCGGGGCTTGGACACGAGCTTGCTGCTGACAGTCGCCCTCGTAGTTTGGGAACCCGGGTTCTGGCTGTGCTGCTTAATGGGGAGTCTCTGCCTGATGTCTTGCTCCTTCAACATGGGGTGCTTGCTGAGGGTGCACTCCTTTTGGTGGCACTTATATGCACCTGCCTGTTGTGTGGCTGGGAACTGTTTGTACTGTCAGGGTCAAACAGCCGAGCTACCAGGGACAGTGCTTAGGCATGTGTGGGACAGCTGGGATTTGAATTTAGGACTGTACAGTTGCAAGTCACAAGCCTTGTTGACCCCGACATTTTGATTTATTTTGAGCATTTCCTTGATTTCTGCACTAACAAGATGCCTCTTGTATTTTCTTGATTCCAACTCTGGAGTCAGTCACTTTCACTTAAACCTCAGATACTTTCTATGATATTTTTAATTTCTCACTGTTTCTATGGATCACTCATAATGTTTTATGTTTGCATAGGTCCAGACATAAAGAATAAAACAGAAGAGGAAGATGTTGACACTGAAGAAGATGTGATTTTAGCATGTCGACCAGCAAATCCAGTAAAAGCATTAGATTTTGATATCAGTAAAAATCGCACAGGTATGTTACTAATAAGTCACTCTTGAGGACAGTGGGGTGATAGTGTTATGTATATACTTAGAGTGCTAAGGAAAACTATTTAAGACTTATGTGTTAGGAAGTAGTTATCGATTTGCAGAGCATTGAGTTATTTTCTCTTGATGATGATCTTCTGATGCTTACTGGGACCATTTTATTTTCTGGAGTTTTTATTATTTATTTATTTTTGTTTATTGGATCATACCTGGGTGGAGGATGCTCAGCCCCGATCCAAGCAGGCTTGGAGATCTCAGCATCCCCCACCCAGATCCTCCATATTCCAGTAGGCAGGGGTCACACCCACCAACTGGCCCCCTGGCGCCGTGTAATCCCATCAATGGCCAAGACCCAGAGACTGTATAACCCAGTTCCCGGAAGCGACATCTTATTACCTCATTCTTACTTTGGACAATCTGGTAGGCTACGGAATGTAACCTGCCCACACGGCGAGTCTGGCAAACTCGCCGTGACGTACCCAATATGCCAAATACCAGTAACAGTGATGGGTCTCATTCTCCTAACCCTGAAAGGGCCTTGAATATGGCACTTTTTAAAAAAATCTCAGGGCTAGGACGAAGGAGACGTTAACTGGGGCCTGCTCGAGGCAATCGACGAACAACAGAATGGATCATACCTGGTTTACTGTTGTTTCTGTACTCAGGGTTCTTTCCTAGAGGGCTCAGGGGGACCTCATAGGGTGCTGGGAATCAAATCTGGGTTGACTGTGTGCAAGGTAACTATCTCTATGGCTCCTATTTTCTGGAGTTTTTAATTAATGATGGAAGAAATTTAAAACAAGTATTTCAAGGCATATCTTGTATTTTTATTTTGAAATCCTCACTTGTCAGTAAAAGTTTAGTCTGTGCTTATAAATCTAATAAGTGAAAGTAGTCACTGTACAGATAATCAAATACTTTTAAGATGTAATGTTTTAATGAAGCAAGGTAATTTTGATTGAATGAGAAGGGAAATGTGTTCAAGAGAGAACACAGGCCTCTCCAGAATGGAAACAAGCAAGTAAAGAAACAGAGAGTAGCAAGAAAGGTGCGTGTTTAGCAGAGAGCTCGGGATTGAAAAGCAAGCCTAAGATTGAAACTTTTGCTTAAGCAAATTGTTCCACAGTCAGTACTAGTTAAATTATGAATAAGTGGATATGATAAATTGAATTGTTTTATTTTTTTGGGTCATGCCTGGCAATACCCAGGGGTAACTCCTGCTCTGCATTTAGGATTTCCTCCTGGAAGTACTTGGGGTACCATATGGGATCCCAGGGCTTGAACCTATGTTGATCTCATGAAGGCAAGCACCCTACCTGCTGTACCATCTCTTCAACCCCTAGGAATTATTTTATTAATAGAAAATATTACATTACAGCTATACTAAATAAAATTATGTTTATTTAGTCATCCCAGCTCAGAGTTTGGTAATCGTAGAACTAGAGTAGACAATAAATTATGGTATAGTAGCAACTGATAGTTTTTTGGAAATTAAGTATCAAATTAAGAATCAAATGAAGTATTGTACCAACTTAGGGCTGGAGCGATAGCACAGCGGGTAGGGCGTTCGCCTTACAAGCGGCCAACATGGCCGACCTGAGTTCGATTCCTCCATCCCTCTCGGAGAGCCCGGCAAGCTACTGAGAGTATTCGATATGCCAGACACAGTAACAACAAAGTCTCCAATGGAGACGTTACTGGGCCCGCTCGAGCAAATCGATGATCAACGGGAGGGCCTTTACCTTACCTTACCTTAGACTCCTCCATAGACCAGATTTAAGTTCTGATTCACCACTTCCACAGGATGCTTTTGGTGGGAAAAATCATTTTTAAGTCATCTAGTTTCATGTCCAAATACAAAATGTATCTGGACATTTTTCAGTAAAACATAATTTGAATAAATTTTAAAATACAATTATTAATGGTTATTTGGGTTGACTTATCACATAATTACATTTAACTCCATGCCATTGTCAACTCTCCAGTATTGATATAAGAATATATAAAAATAAAAGTAATTCAATTCTTTAACTTTCTAGAAATAGAAGAATTGCCTCCGATTGATCATGGTGTTCCTATCACAGACCGAAGAAGTACTTTCCAGGCCCACCTGGCTCCAGTAGTTTGTCCCCAGCAGGTAAAGTTATTGTGTCCAGCTCAGTTTTGATCATTTAAGTAATGGTTTTGCAAATATATCCTTTTTTTAAGTCATTAATTTTCTGTAAAAATTGTTTATCTGTGACTCCAGTTTTATTGGGTAGCCTTTATTTACTTCTTACGTCTTGTACTCTGTTGCACATTCAGTTTTCTGCTGAGTGAAATAGCTCCTTCCGCCTTAACCCTCTTCTCTGTTGATGTAGAAGAGTAGACCGTTAGCCTTTCAAGACCCAACTTAGGAAGCTTACTTGACTCCCAGAGGGAGTTTGGTTTTGTAACATTCGGAGTATACCACTATTGTGTTATTGTCACATTGGACATGTAAGTTTTGTAAATTTGCAGATCTTATGTTTAGAAATTCTTGTTTATATTTAAAATATTCATGTCTTTTTTCTTAGAGAGGAAATTTTTAAAAAAGGAAATCTTTGCTGTTAATATAAAATCTTTGCTTTTTATATGTCATTTAATAGTTAAAGTCATCAGTGTTAATTATCATGTGCCTGCAAGCCTGTAGAAGAGTAACCATAAAATAGAGGGAGAATAGTTAAGGGTTTTAAATGTGTTCTGTGTAATACATTTTATTATTTAACTTTGGTAAGGCTTAAAGTACGAAAGAATTTTAAATAGCTGTACAATAATTTATTATTGAATTGCTATACAATTAAAAAGATTAACAGACTTTTTTTAAAAAGAGGAAATTTTTTTCATATAGAGGTATCACTAAATTGGTAATGGTTCAAATGTTGGCTGATAGATTGGTGCCCGAAATATCACACCAATTGAGTGCACCAATTTCTGTCCACAAAATGAGGGGAAAACTTTGAAAATATGATTTCCAATATAGTAACTCTTAGAAAAAAATTTTAGGTACACCTTTTAAAAAATGTCTCTGTTTGGAGCTATAGCACAGTGGTAGGGCGTTTGCCTTGCACGCAGCCAACATGGCCGACCCGAGTTCGATTCCTCCGCCCCTCTCGGAGAGCCCGACAAGCTACCGAGAGTATCTCACCCGCACGACAGAGCCTGGCAAGCTCCCCGTGACGTACTCGATATGCCAAACACAGTAACAACAAGTCTCATGATGGAAACGTTACTGGGCCCACTCGAGCAAATCGATGAACAACGGGAGGACCGTGATATACCGTGTTTTAATATATGTTTACAGCATTTATGAACAGAGAAAATAAAAATGGTATATTAATTTCTATTACTACTGTTTTTAAGGTGAAAATGGTTCTTTCCAAATTGTATGAGAATAAGAAAATAGCTAGTGCCACCCACAACATCTATGCATACAGGTAAGTAACCTCCACAGTGTGGGGAATGTACAGTTTGAAAAGTGGAGGCGTTGATTCAAAACATGGTTAAAAACAGTGAAGGAAGAGTGAGCCATTTTTCCTACTAATGAAAATGGCAATATTTGCATATGTTTACTCTCTGCCTTTTCTGTGCAAAGTTTATCATTTCAATTCTTTACCCAATATCCCTTTAAAAAATTAACAAAAAGAGGTTCTGTGGTTGTTATAATTACCTTCTAAATTTAATGTTTATGGTCGTATAATTATGCTCCATACCATGGTTTATTTAACCTCCCCCCTGACCCCCACATTTTTCACTTTTATGAAGAATAGCCCTGTGAATATCTCTGTGGACTTCTTAGGTTATTTTCTTAGGATTGGTTTGGGTTCCTTCATATTTTTTTCTGGAACAAAATGGGTAGAATTAAAAAGTCAAAAAGAATGATTTCCTATAGGTAGCATTATGAAAGGCATGAACATTTTTGAAACTCTTGATTCATATTCCAAACTTCTTTCAGAAGTGTTTTTTGCCAGCACTGCTAGGTGTAGCTCTGATGACCCGTCCCTTCCCCCAGCACTACCTGCTAGGCCTGGTAGCCACCAGCCCCTCCTGGGCCAAGCAGCATTGCTTTCCCTGCCTGAGCTTTGGTCTGTCCCATCCTACCCACAGAGCTGGCCAAGTATCTCTGGGATTGGAGTACTGGGGAAACATTGCTTGGAAACTGCCCCCATACAGGAAAAAATATAAGCAAGCCATGTTAAAGACAAGTTATACTTTCATTAGCAATGAATTAAGCATGCATTAAAAAATGCATGGCTTTTACTTTTGAAAACTAAAGTTTTATACAAATCTTTGCTGATTTGTTACTAAAGAGAAGGGGAGCACTGTAGCACTGTAGCACTGTCCTCCCATTGTTCATCGATTTGCTCGTGCAGGCCCAGTACCGTCTCCATTTTGAGACTTGTTACTGTGTTTGGCATATTGAATACATCATGGGGAGCTTGCCAGGCTTTGCCATGCTGACGAGATACTCTTGGTAGCTTGCTGGGCTCTCCGACAGGGGCAGAAGAATTGTGCAAACTCTCTACCTCTGTGCTGTTGCTCAAATTAGAGACTGAAAAGAATGTAGCTTAGTACTGAGATCAAGATGCAGGCTGAAATTTGGTACACTTCAAAAAGTGGTTGAGAATACATAATCTAGGCAATCTGAAACTCAAAATGAAAAATAAAACACCAACTCCATCACTTTGGATAGGTGGATTTTTTTTTGTGCTGCTAAATCATATCCCTTTGTGTCAAAACTACAAAAGACTATTTGTAATATAATTTTCTGCCATCTAGACTATTACTGGACAGAATTTTGATGTTTTCTTAATGGACCCAGGATTATAAATATGAAAATGAGGGATGGGACTGTGTTTCCTCCCAGTGATTAGCTTATGCCATAAAAGATTAATAGGTACCATTCATCTACCCCACGCTTATTGAGTGCCTACTCTGTGCTGACACTTTATAAAAGTTAATTGTTTTCCAGTTATGTCATGGTAAAAAAAAATCACATAATTGCTAAATTTGATCTAATTTCTCTTACATGTTTATTCCTTTATGACTATGAATACACCTTCATTAACCCCTCAATATAATGTTGGTCTTCAGTTTTCAGAAAGTCAAGCAATAAGTTAAACAGTCTGTTTTAGAATTCAGAATTTTTATTTTTAAAATTCATGTGAGTATTTTTGTGGTTCAGATTATTAGTAGGTATCATTTCTCACAAATAACTGATTAACTTTGTCAGAAATATGTCAGTTGAAAATAGAAAAGCACAAAGTGAAGGATTGAAGAACCCCATTTGGAGTGAAATAAATGACCTTTATTTGATACATGGTCTTTTTCTGAAATTTTTTTTCATTTTTTAATTTTTATTAGTGAAACACCATGAGTACAGTTGTAGACTTACAAATTTTTGTGCTTGCATGGACTTAGTGTTGTGTATTTTGAATGCTTAGCATCATTTTAAGTCTACTTCCCAGATTCTCGGGCAGTGTCCTCACTTTGGAATTGAGGTGGGGTGGGGTTGGGGGTGATGCCTCACTCCAGGCTACCTATACACACAATGATTGGATGCTTTATCTTATCTTTCTGGTCTGTGAGAAAAGGTAGTGAAACTGTTTGGTTTCATTGCTTAAAAGAATCTCACAGTAATGAATCATGTGGTCAGATTGTCTTACGATTATGGTGTTATAATTAAGCGCCTAATATAAAACAATCCCTGATTCCTTTTTGCCTAAAATTTGCTATACAGAATTTTTTTTTCACAGTACTAAGTTTCCTCATCAAGGTTAACTCTGAATAACAATACGGCCTGGCTCTAGGAGGTGGCAGTAAACATTTGTTGAGGGGATGTAAGGATGAATGAACTATGATTGCTCCAATGTGACAATTATTTTGCCATATAGATATATTATTTTGCCATATAGATAAATTATTTTGCCATATAGACAATTATTTTGCCATATAGATAAATTGCTATTTGGCTTTTCATAACCTCAGCTGAAAAATATCATTTTTACAGATGGTCCCCTGTGTAGAGGCCCAAGATATCTGCTGATGGGCATGCTTTCACTCATACAGGTTTCCCCCCATATTTCCATATATGCTTCTTGCTCTCTGAGATATTTCCCTTATTCTTGCTAGCTTATTCTGCCACAGTGTACCCATATATCATTATTCCAAATGTTATCTTTCTAGATAATTTAAATGGGTAAAAAGGCCATGACTTATCACTGTTGGTAACTATTTGTGAGAAAATTACAGAGAAAAAAAAATCTATAATTCTTACCCAGAATGGGAAAGATATAGAAATGCTTGCTGGCTAGAGTATATATGAAGAAAGCATAACTTATTTAATAATTAATATAAATAATAATATTAAGACATTAATATTCTGGTATTACCTTTATTTTTTAGTATAACATTTATTTGTTTAACTAGATACTAGGGTCTTTGATTTCAGGGATAATTATATCATTTCAGAGTTTCTATTATGTGTATTCTTATATACATAATAATATAAGAATACACATAACAGAAAATACATAATATACTTCTGTACTAGAATATACATAATATATTTCTATAGTATATTCTTCAAAAATATTTTTTAGTGAATATTCTATATCCTTATAGGTCAAGGTTAAGTGAGATGGGGAAAATGTCTGATATATTTCCCACCATTCCATAATAGAATTCTGATTTCAAGTAGGTACTGTAACTCTTAACTTTATAAAATATTAAAAGTGATGCCTATTATTAAGCAAGTCATTAGGGAAAGCATACCTAAATACATACTTCAAGAAGGGATTCTTAAAAAACATATGTGCTGACTTTGGAAATAACCAAGTAGATCACTAACAGGTATGAAAGAATAACCTTTACTTCATTTTGGTTCACACCGTTCTGTGCATTTCCAGGATATATTGTGAGGATAAGCAGACCTTCCTCCAGGACTGCGAGGATGACGGAGAGACAGCAGCGGGTGGGCGCCTTCTCCATCTCATGGAGGTAAGTGTTGCTTAGACCCTCTGCATCCTGTTCTAGGGGCCCTAAAGGTTCTCACCAGAGCAGAGCTCCTCTGACGAATCAATCAACCAGTTAAGCTGTGTTAACATAGGATATGTTGGCTTAATTAGTAGTTCATTTAAACACCGAGGGAAAATTGTCACCACTGGATGTGGGGCAGGAAGCACTGTAGTAACCACAGTGACTGCACTCTCCAGCCCTTTCAAGCATTAACCAGAGACCTTTATCCAAATCTGGAAAAACTACTTATTTTTTTTGGGGGGGCGTGGTGGGCAGTTTTATTCTATTTTCTTTCTAATTTATATTAATTAGATATTAGATCTTCTTATAGATCCAGAATGTTTTCTTCTTAAATTAAGTTGTCCATCTCATTGTGTTATGTTCTGAAGTACTTTCTTGCATCCCAAAATTTCTATTAAAGATAAATTAGGAGCCAATTAGAAGTTAATTTTCAGGAGTTCTCTACTGTGTGGTTCTCTGCTTTTCCTTTTCATAGTGTACTGTTTTGATTTTATGGATATAATATCTTCTAAAATTTCTCTGAGTATACTTATTAGTTTTCCTTTTTAAGATATTCTCTCCCTTAAATATCTCCTGATCCATTTTAGTTTGTTTATCTTGTCCTTTCTCTTTCATGCTGCTGGATTTTCATCTGTCTGGTGATCATTGATTGTCCATTAATTTTAAGAATGGATTGTTTTTTTTTTAAGGTAGCTGCTATAGTTTCTTTGTTTTTTATATTGGAGGTTTTGTTTTCTAACCAGGCCATTCCCTTGCTAGGAACTCTGTATGTGGGTCAGGCCTGTAGACTGATGGGCTTCATCGTAAGGGCAGCATTTGACAAATGTCAAACCGAGGAAGACCATCCTGGTAGGCACTAGCAATTACTCATGCAGCCCTGGTTTTATGTCGTAGTTTGTCAGAAGCAGGTTTTGTGTTGTTTGATCTAGAGGTGACAGGCTAAGTTATTTTGGTTTGGAATCACCAAGAACTGGAACCCTGTCTGCATGATCACCCCTTCACTCTGCTTGGTTGCCCCAAAGTTTGGAATTCAAGGACACTGTGAAGCACAGTGCTTGTTTTCCAAATTCTCTTCTGGTTCTAACATTCCAACCCCTAAATTGCTAGTAATCTTACTGCTTATTCTTGTAGTTCTGTCATTAATTCACGGGGAAATTTTATGTGCATTTTTATATATGGGTTACTTTGTTCTCTTTTAAAACTCAGATTTTAACATGCCTCTGTGTATCTACTTATGCTTCTGAAAATTACAGATTTTGAACGTGAGGAATGTCATGGTGGTGGTCTCACGCTGGTACGGTGGGATTCTTCTGGGGCCAGATCGCTTTAAGCATATCAACAACTGTGCCAGAAACATACTAGTAGAAAAGAACTACACAAGTTCTCCAGTAAGTGTCTATCGATATTATATCTAGTTTCTAACCTGTGAGAAATTGCTGCCCATGAAATAAAATACGGTCACGGTCATGGTCCTCCCATTGTTCATCGATTTGCTCGAACAGGCCCAGTAACGTCTTTATCATGAGACTTGTTGTTACTGTGTTTGGCATATTGAATACATCACGGGTAGCTTGCCAGGCTCTGCCGTGCGGGCAAGATACTCTCTGTAGCTTGCCAGGCTCTCCGAGAGGGGCGGAGGAATCGAACTCGAATCGGCCATGTTGGCCGCTTGTAAGGCAAACACCCTACAGCTGTGCTATCGCTCCAGCCCAAAATAAAATACAAAAGACAAAAAAATTAGGAGGTGCCAGTGTTTAAAGTACTTGCCTTGTATGTGATTGACCCCAGTTTGATCCTCAGCACTGCAGATGATCCCCTGAACCCTGTTGACAGTGATCCCTGAGCAGAGAGCCAGGGGTTAGCCCTGTTCACCTATGGGTATAGCCCCAACACATAAACCCTCAAAAAAGAATTGAGTGAAGCAGACTATACATGGTGAAGTAGAAAAATCCTTGGACTAGGATATTTGAGCCTTAGTTCTCATCATAGCAATGTAGTATGCCGGTTATGTAACCTTGGCTGGATAAGACTATTTTATATCTTAGAGCCTAAATTTGATAGATTCATACTTTTATAATTGACAGAATCTTTGAAGATCACTTAATTTCCACTTTTTCTTTTTTTTTGCGGGGCAGGAGATTCCACTCTTGAGGGTGATCAGGAACTGCATAGGCTTTATGTTTTGTGATATTTTGGTGTGAGACCCAGGAGCCTTGCATCCAAAGTATTCACATGACCTGTGGAGCTATCGCTCTGGCCCATATTTTTCGCTTTGTAAAACCTGAAGCTTAGAAAAGTTAGATGTATATTGGACTGGATGTCCTTCCTTCCTTCCTTCCTTCCTTCCTTCCTTCCTTCCTTCCTTCCTTCCTTCCTTCCTTCCTTCCTCCCTCCCTCCCTCCCTCCCTCCCTCCCTCCCTTCCTTCCTCCCTCCCTCCCTCCCTCCCTCCTTCCCCTCCCTTCCCCTCCACTCCCCTCCCCTCCCCTCCCCTCCCCTTTCTATTCTTGCTTTTCTTTCTTTCCCCCCCTGGCCTCCACACCTTTTGTTTTTTAGGATGTTCTTTAATTCAAGTTCTAGCATTCTCTTAGTGTCAAAGCATCCTCCTTTCTCATAGGTAAATATGAATACCTATTTATGTATGTTGAGATTTATTTATTTTTCTCAGTATGTTCATATCTATTTTATGTGAATTTTTTTTCTTTTCTTTTTGGTCACATCTGGCGATACACAGGGGTTACTCCTGGCTCTGCATTCAGGAATTACTCCTGGTAGTACTGAGGGGACCATATGGGATGCTGGGAATTGAATCCGGCAAGGCAAGGCAAGCGCCCTACCTGCTGTGCTATTGCTCCAGCCCCTTATGTAAACTCTTATATCCTACTTCGGAAAGAAGACACTAGATTAAATCATATGGGAATTATTAACCGCATAACCTACTCTATTGATTAATATTTTTATTATTATACTTGAATATCTTGGTGGAAATAGTAAAATAGATAAGTGAAAATAATCCTATAAAACTAAAACAAAGTACATATACTTTCACAATATATGATTACATTTAAATATCTAAGCCAGTATCTTTATTACATTGATTTGTTTCTTTTTCAGGAGGAATCATCTAAGGCTTTGGGAAAGAACAAAAAAGTAAAAAAAGATAAGAAGAGGAGTGAACATTAAAACTATATGAAAGATTAATTTTTCTCTAATTACATGCAGTTCCATAGTCATCAAGAAATTCATTGTGCTGAGAAAGGGTCCATGACTGCTTAGTCAGCCAGTTCATTGTGGACACCAACATTATCTTTTCTTCTTGAGTTAGATCATCTGCTAAAAGTAGAAAACTTAGGAAATATTGATTCGTGTTTCAGGTTGATTCAGAAGAATTAATTTGAACTAGTCACCACTTCATCTAATTTTAGGAAGGTAATAGTTGCTGAGGACAGTATCTGAATTAACTGTCCATTTCACTACATGTCAAGTGCCTTTGTTATGTGGGGGAAGAAATGTCTCTAGAGGATTAGAAATCCCTGATTTCTCATCGTGGAGCTCTCATTTGTTAAATGAATCTTGCCTTTTACTGCTCTTTATGGATTAATGGAATAGGAGCTTATTGAGGATAGATCTTGGAGAGTTCTTGTGATTTTAGTTCATAACTATGTCACCTTTTATTTTATAAAAGTCACCGAGTAATGAATTAAGTGAAAATCCAGGTATATTCATCTGCAGTTATGTGCTGAGGTGATAACTTGTGCAATATATTTGTTAGCATTATGACTCAGTTTCTGTTGTAAATTGGTGATTGTGAAATTTCATAAAATGATTTTCTTGTTTCTACTGTTATGATTTGTTCTTGTAATGTAATCAGTAATGGAGACTCTGTAAAGCTTTCCTTCCTAAAATGTATTGGTGTCGGGCGGAGAGATAGTACAATGGGAAAGGCACTTGTTTGCCCAAGGCTGACCCGGGGTCGATCCCCAGCATGTCATGAAGTTCTCTAAGCACAGCCAGGAGAAACTTCTAATTGCAGAGCCAGGAGTAACCATTGAGCATTGTCAGGTGTGACCCCAAACAGAACAAAATATGTTTACATAATAACATTTGGGTTTCTTTTAACAGCTGATAAGTACCTGGCTTGTGATTCTCACTGAGGAAGTATAACCAATTAGAAGCTTTGTTATGGCTACCGGAACAGTTATAGAATGGGATGAAGAGGGCAGAGCAGCACTGGGGTAGGTTAAGAGTGTGCTGTACATATGTGACACACATTTTCACCTGCACTTGGCTCTCTTTCTCAATTTTATGACTTTGTGAAGAGAAGGAACAAGAGAAGGAATTGAATTGAAAAACAAGAAAAATCCCTTTTTTCCCCCTCATTCTTATTAAATCTTCCTTTTTATTGGTATTTTGTATTATTCCTTTCATCAATTTCCTATTAGACATCTAGTTAATAAATTTACCTTTGAGATATCTAACAATGAGTCTTAATCATTCCCTTTAAAATATGATTGAGGACAATTGCCCCAACTAACTGATTATAAATTGACCTGAGATCACCTTTTAGGGGGAAGGAACGTATTGCCTTCTAAGTGGGGCAGTTTGGGCTGGTACTGGATCATGGAAAAAGTATCTAAAAAGGTGGGCGCAGAAAATTACTTTATTCTGTTCTCTAGTGTTTTACTTTGAAAAGATCCCACATGTTTAGCTCAGTGTTTTTAATAAGCATGTAGCAAATAGCTATGGATTAGGATGGATTCTGAGAGCTAAACCTGTATTTGGTGTGTGTTTAAATGTTGTCAAGAGTCATCATAGGATGACTGGTATGTATTTAGAATACTTCTTTCAGATTCCATGGAAAGTTAAATATGTCCTGTGTAGTAATTGTTTAAAAAACTGTACAGGGACTGGGTGGAAGTTGAGAAGGCTCAAGTGCATTCACTGCATGCCGGTGCCCCAGGTTCAGTTTCTAGCACCGCATGCTCTTCTGAGCAACCATCTGAAAGTGGTAGAACACAGCCAGGTGGGCCCTCAAGCCAAAAACAAGTTAATGAGTGATGGATAAAGTTAGAAAAATTAACACCTTTCAAATATTTCCACATTTTGGCATGTCAAGCCATTGAAAGAACACATAAACAGTAAGAATTTGATGCTATAGAAAAATGAAGGATTTTTATTTTTCTTCAGCACCAAATTTGAATTCCTTGCTGTTCTACCTGAACATTTATTTGGGTCATCACAGAAAACAAAAACACCTTCTGTGATCTCATTTTCCGTTATTAAAAAAATTCTTAACTATTCTTCTTTCTGCAAAATTACTCCGTTTTCTCACCAGAAAACCTAATCACCTTTATAAGAGGGAAAGGTCCAAAATTCTCTAATTCTGGAATTACTTCACACTTTACCATTAAGGACCTCCCTCAATAATGATAGTACCCCCTTTTCTTTTGAATATTTCTCTTGTTTAGAGGATTTTAAAATTGTCCAAATAATACTTTTCTATAGCCAGATGTATTTTGTGGCGTATTTTATAGTCTATTGTATTAAAAATATTCCCCACGTGCCAGATGTAAGAACAAGTAGCATCTACTTTTAAAATGGCTGTTTGATCTGAAGGTTTATATCATGAAACATAAACTTTTTGAAGAGAATTGTATCAAAGTAATCATAGCCAATAAAGAAAAATATGAAGCAATTACTGACTGGAAGACAGATAAAATTTATTGGAAAATGGTATAATTGCCTCAAATTCTATTATGTAGAGGTAGTCATTATTAACATTTGCTATGTACATTCTTCTATTTTTTTCCTATGCATGACTTTGTATATATGGCTATTTTTCTTTCCATAAAAAATGGTATTAAACTGTATATACTGTTTTGTATCTGCATATTTCATATAGAAGTATATTGTTAACCTTTTCCCATGTCAATAAATATTCTTCTATGACTTCATTTCTTATGACTAACTCATAATTTGTCTTCTGGGTGTGTTACAACAACCAATCCTGACTTATTTTCAATTTTTAAGTTTTCCCATTTTTTTAGACAAAACAGCTGTGAAAACTACATTATCATAAGTTTTTTTTTACATAGTTCTAAAAACCATTCTTTCTCAGATTGAAGCCTAATAGTTTGGTTTAGCCTTTTTGCTCTCTAAGAAAATATTATTGGTTCTGTGCCTCTTAACACTGTGTTATATAGTATATATTCAGAGTATTGGTCAAAGTACACAGAAAAGTAGCTAATCTGATAGGTAAAACACTATTGTTTTGAAATAATATATTTACAAAAAAATCTATAGATAATAGATTTATGTATGGATATTTGGGTTTCCAATTTGACACTTTTACATTTAGTGCTGCTATGAACATTCTTGTTCATAGCATTTGATGAACATATGTATATATTTCTGTTATTCGTCGATTGCCTCGAGCAGGCCCCAGTAACGTCTCTTTCATCGTAGCCCTGAGATTATATTCAAGGCTATTTAGGAGAATGAGACCCATCATTGTTACTGGTATTTGGCATATTTGGTACGCCACGGGGAGTTTGCCAGACTCTGCCCTGTGGGCAGGCTACATTCGATAACCTGCAAGTTTGTCCAAAGTAGGAAAGAGACAATAAGATGTCATTAAAAAAAAAAAAGTTCTGATAAGATGTCGCGGTTCCGGGATCTGGATTTTATAGTCTCTGAGTCTTGGCCGCTGATGGGATTACACGGCGCCAGGGGGCCAGGTGGTGGGTGTGACCCCCGCCTACTGGAATTTGGAGGATCTGGGTGGAAGATGCTCGACTCCAATTCGAGTAGGCTTGGAGGTCTCGGCCCCGGAACCCGCGTGGCTTTGTCCCTCTGCCAGTACCTTCATGTGTGCGGAGAGTGGTCTCAGCATGGTGGTGGCTGGTCCTGGAGGTCTTCGGCTGCCGTAGCCCTGGTCGGGGCGGGGAGGAAAGCTCAACCCGCTCCCCTCCAAGGGGCTCCGGGAAGGAACACCCAGGCACGGGGGCAGAAGACTGCACTGTTCTCGTCCGGGATCTGGATTTTATAGTCTCTAAAGTATATTTATCTGGAAATGTATTAGCTGGGCCACTGCATACATATATGTGGAACTTTAGTGTTTACTGCCCAGTGATATGGTCATATATTTTTTAACAACTTGCTTTTTTAATTTTTTATGGGGTGGAGGTATCACACCTGGTGATGCTCTGGGGTTACTCCTGGCTCTGCACTCAGAAATTACTCCTGGCAGTGCTCAGGGGGGCCATGTGTCTATGCCAAGGGTTTAACCTGATTGTCACTTGCAAGGCAAACACCATATCTGCTGTATTATCACTCTAGCCCCCTGCAACTTGCATTATTTTTTTATGTAGTAGTACTGCTGTTTATTCAGCCACTGATTAGGCTGATTGAATTGGACATGAACTCCACACAACTTGCTTTTTTGTGGGAACTAATTTTAATTACAAAAAAATAAATGAAAGTCATATTTTTTAAATTGAATCACCATGAGATACACAGTTACAGAGTTGTTCAGTCACACAATGTTGCATCATCAGTTCCTTCACTAGTGTACATTTCCCACCATCAATGTCCCCAGTTTCCCTCCCATACCCTCTCATGCCTCTGTGGCAGGCACTAGGCACTTTCCTTCTCTCTTCTCTCCTCTCTCTCCTCTCTCTCTCTCTCTCTCTCTCTCTCTCTCTCTCTCTCTCTCTCTCTCTCTCCTTTTGGGCATACAGGTACTGAAAAGTTATCATGTTTTTTCTTTTACCTACTTTAGCACTCAGTTCTTGTCCAGAGAAGAACTATCTTTTCCAACTATGTTTGTCATAGTTGTCCTTTCTCTGTCTTAGCTGCCCTCCCCTCACCACCACTTGTGACAAGCTTCCAACCATGGACCATTCCTCCTGGTCCTGGTTTTTACCGTCCTCTTAGTCTCTTACTATGTCAAAACATATTTTTATAATGTTTGCCAGCTCCTGTAATGTTTCTACTCCAATTCTGTCCAATTTCAGGCTACCAATGTGAAACCATCTGCCTTATAAAATTCCTGAAAATTGAACAATTGTTTCTTGTGAGCTCCATCACTACCAAGTAGTTTTCCAATAATGGTCAAACCAGCTTACACTCCTACGTGTAGTCAGTGAGAGTTGATGCAGTTGCACATCTACGCTTGGTATACCCCTCCTCTTATTTTAATCATGCCTGGAGATGTATAGTGATGCACCTTTGGTTTGCATTTCCCTGATGACTAATCAAATCAGCACTTGGTTGCTGCATTTTATAACTGCATTTTATGATGTAATTTTATGATCTTGTCACATGACACCCATTCCCCTTTTCCAGGACTGGAAATATTAACAAGTTTGCTGAGATATAGTAAAATACGTTAAAAATTGTGCATATAGGAGCATCGAGTCAGTAAATTTCACTTGAGTCTTGTTCTACCCCGCCCCTCCGTCCCCCCATATCAATTGGGCTTCATTTTTTTTCTTTTCCTTTCCTAATTTGTAAAAATAGATTGTGATCCCTCCTTGTCTGGGATGTTACATGGTTTTGATGGTGAAAAGAGACTGGGAGAAAATATTTGCTCACCATTCATCTGACAGGGGGTTACTATCCAAGATATGCAAAACACACATAACCAAAAAAAAAAGCCCCTCAAGAAATGGAGGAAGAAGATACACTTCCTTTAAGAAGACACTCAGGTGACCAATATGGTATATGAAAAATGCTCCCATCACTCATAAAGATAATGTAAGTCATAATAGTGAGATTGGCATACACAAAAGAACAAACATCCAGTACTGGGGTGGATGTGGGGGAAAGGATAGAATCCTTATCCACTGCTGTGGGACTTGACTGGTTCAACCTTGAATTCCATGGAAATAGTATGGAGTCTTCTTAAAATACTAAGAACTGAACCTCGGTATGATCAGCAATCCCTTTTCTTGGCATCTAACCCGAGGACCCCAAAGCACAATTTAAAAAAGACATTTGCTTATTCCAAAAAAAAAAAAAAACCAACCCAGAACAATTTATGCTCCTATGTTTATTTCAGCACTACTCACAATAGCTAAGATCTGGAAGTAGCCCTCATGATATTCTAAAGGACCACAGGTAAAAATAGCATAAGTGGGGGCCACAGCAGGAGATGAGGGCCAACTGGTCCTATAGGGCCACAGGAAGGAACCAGGGCTGGAAGGAGGCCATGCAGTTGGAGGAAGTGTGGAAATTCTGCTGAGAGCCGGTTCGGGGATCTTGGCCCTGTGTAAATGCCTTTCGTTCCTTTTTTGGCTTCACTGAGAGTCTAATGCCGCGCTACCTTTCCGGTGAATAATACTGAGCTCTAGCTGCGGGATCTAACGGTGACTGATGAGGCTGCTGACTATAAATTCTCCCATGTGTGTCAAATTTCTTTTTCTTGTTGAATGACCAATAACAACAAAAAGCCTGAAAAACCAACCCAAACCTTTTAGAAATGGAATTTTCTGTCATGTTTCATGGAACAAGAGAACAAAGGGACTGCTGAACTGGGTACCACCTGGAGTCTAAGTGAAAATGGTTCGCCTCCTAGTGTCCCTCCAGCGAAGCTGCCTGTGTGCTTTAGAGAATTACTGTTCAGAGGACAGAGGCCTTCTGGAGACTGACTTCAAAAGATCCTGCGTGTCAAAGTTGAAGCTGTCAGTTTAGACTTGTTTAGAAGCTGCCTGCTGCAACTTAGGAACAGTTACTGCCTAGTGTCTAGGAAAACACGGAGTAACTGCCTCTGGAAGATGTCTAAACAAACAATACTATTCAACCAAAATAGAAGAGTAGGCGAAGAACTTAATTAAATAGACATTTTTTTCCCAAAGAAAATATGCAAATAACCAAGAATTGCATGAATATCTATGCTACACAACCATTTATTAGGGAAATGTAAAAACTATAGTAAAGAATCACTTAAACCCCCTAGGATGAGAATATATTTTTTATTTTAATGGAAAATTACTGATATTGGGAAGAAAATGGGGAAATGAAAATCCTTATACATTGTTGATGGTGAAGTTACTGTGGAAAACAGTGTGACCTTTCTTCCAAAAGTCAGGTATAAAGTCAATACTATATAATTTAGCAATTCTACTTTTAGGTATATACTTGAGAATTTTTTTAACCTCAAAACATTTGTAGATATTACAGCAATATTATTTGTAATAGCCTCAAATGGGAATCAGTCCAAATGCCCCTCACTAAATGAATGGATAAACAAATATGGTACAGCCATGTAGCAGAATATAATTTAGTTCTCAAAGGGGATGAAGTGCAGGTGCATTCTGAAAACTGCTGGCCCTGGCCTTGATTGTCTGTGAAAGAGTCCTGCCACAGAAGAACCCGTTCATAAGACAACACACTAAATTAGTGTACTTGTATAAAATGTCCAGAATTGACAAAACTCCACCAGAGACAGCAAATTTGTGGTTACCTGGAGATAAGAGAAGGGGATTGGTGTGAGGAAATGTGGGGTAGCTGCTAATGAATATGGATTATTTTGGGGGAGTGAAATATTCAGGAATTCAATTATATAACTTGGTGAATATACTACAAAGTCACTGAAACATACTCTACAAAAGAGTGAATTTCATGGTATTTGAATGATATCTTTACCAAAAGTTTAAAGACATTTGTGTGATTGTCACCATTATGGACTGGAGTCTTATAGAGCATAAATAGGAATTTCTGGTGTTATAGGTTCCAAATAGTTATCTGTAGACCATAGTCTCTAAAATATGTTTTCAATTAAATAAGAAACCAATAACCAGAACATATTAAAGAATGTTAATTATATACATTTGAGATTTTAATTTCTAAAAGTTTTTCAAATGATTCAACATTTAGGTTATATTTTATAATTTCATAAATGAGGGAAAATGACTAAATTTACATCACAATAAAATTTTATAAAAAATATTCTTAGGAGG